AGTACATTTCATTATTATTTTACATTTTGATCTCCTTTTTATTAGCGGATATATGTTCTTATAAATAAAGTGTACACGTGGCGATAGGCACGTGACCAAGCACGAATAAACTGGTTAAACCGATACATGTTGAGTAGTTCGACGGTGCTTGTGCTGACTGAAATTGCCATGTGTAGCAAATCTAATTATGTAAAAACAACGAGAGAATACGCAACTGATATGATTATCACAATGACTTTGTGCCGAACTTACTCGCGTTAATAATTAAAGAAAAAGAAACTGCCACAAGGCAATCAATATACGAATGATACATTTATTATAGATAAATATCTTATAGGTATATGTATATTTTAGCGATTGAAAAAAATACAATTACGCGCAAGATCAAAGATCTTTTTGCTAAAAGAATTTGCATTTGTTATATCTAGATCTTAATATTTAAACAATTATGTTAAACAATTATTTTAAAATTATTTCATACAGTAAGTACAGTGCTAAACAAAAAAAAATTCTTTAACAAAAATTAGAGCTTTATGTTAAAAATTGAGTAGTAATATTTATAGTTAAAATGAAAGAAGTTAATATGAAAGACATCGATTCAACTTCGAATGTGAAATTTTATGAATAAAAGAGAAAATTTTGTCTTTTTTTTTTTATTTCATTCCTTTAAATCTCTACAAATCATTTACGTGCCATATTTTCTCAGAGAATAAAACAAACGGGAGTCCGCGCATAGTTTCTTTAGCATAATGAATTGTACAGCGTCAGTTTCTTAGACAATCAGCGAATCTCGAACATTGCAGCTTGCACTTACGTGATAATTATATGCTTTCTCCAATAACAAAATATCTAATTTTAACAATATTAACGAATTAAAGAGACAAGTTAAATTTTATAACTAAACATAACGAGATAATCATTAAAAAAAAATGTATTTAAGTATATATAAAAATTCACTTGATTAATTTCAAGTGAAAATTATACTATAAGAACGATGATGTAAGTAAATTTATGATATACTTCTACGACATATGTATAATTATATCTTTTTTATATAAGATATTATCTCGAAAATAGTATGAAAGTTTCCGTCAGAACTACATAATTTTGCATGTACATTAATATTTTTATCTATCTCCATAATTCGAAGTATGATCGATATATCCCTTTATCAAAACTAAGGGAGAATTCTAATTCCCCCTTGGCTTTGATAAAGACGTATATTCTATTTTAATAATCGGAATACGTGAGACAAGTGGTGTTCGATCACGTGCGTATTGTATTGCGACGAATAGTCGCGCACACACGTGTACATACGTGCGTAAGTCGTGTTGGCACTTGGGCACGTGCTTTTCATTCCTCTTCGGTTGGCTTTGTGTCTTCATAGTGCATTGTTAAATACTTCGCCATAAGGGATGACTCCTGTATATGGAAAAGAAATTTTTCGCCTTGTTTCACAACTCCTTTACATTCTTGATTGAATATTGAGAAGTGCACAATCCTCTTGTTCGCCAACCACATGAACTACTCGCCTTGTTTCACAACTCCTTTACATTCTTGATTGAATATTGAGAAGTGCACAATCCTCTTGTTGTTCGCCAACCACATGAACTATGATTACACTGTTCAATAAAACTTTTTTCCAAGCACAAGAATGATAACCCAAGTAGCTAGTAGATACTTACAAAGCGTTAACAAAGCGCTAAAAAAACACATATAATCAGCAGCTATATAAGCGCTGCTATACTACTTAGGTAAGCCAACATAAATTTTTGTTTAGTAATTCTCATGAGAATAATTGTGTTTCTTATGAATTTTTTACGATAAGAAACAATATGAATTTGGAGAAATTAAGAAATCAGCGAGGATAAGAAAAAATTATAGAACAAATCATCCGTCAATAAAGTATTGAAAATGAACAATATTACTGAATTAAAAAAAATTACTGAATTAAATAGATAAAATATTTATTATGCTCTTGTCTTTATCACAGAAACTCTTACCGGTGACAACAAATAAATTTTCTAATTTAGATTTTTTAATACATTATATATATATAGGCGAGTCAATAATAAAAAAACGTAAGGAAGAAAACGATGCGCGGAAGCTTTTAATTCTTTAGAGCAGACAGCGATGTAATTACAGGAGAAAAATCTGTGTATCGATTTTTCTCTTTCTCTTTCTCTCCTTTTTTCTCTTTCTTTCCATCGTCTTTTGATGAAAGGCAAAAACCAGAAGTAAGAGGTTGGAGGTCTCGGATCAGAAAAAAAGGTGAGAAAGATGAACGACGGTTTGGGAGCAGGACTGTAACGAAGCTCTGACTTTTTAATTGGAACACATTCAAAAAGTGATATGCCTTTTCATCGTGGAATGCAATGCACTGTGAATGCAATCTGAATCAATGTAGAATCAACCGAGCTCGCTGATAAACCCAGAATTTCGCGATTTCTGCGAATCGCACAAAAGGGATATTAGAACATTTTATTTTTTCCTTCTTCACATTATTCACGAACGACTAAATAACGATGTAAATTACATTAAATGGGAGCAGTGTTTATTTTTAATGTGTTCATGTAAATAACGACTAGTATTCGAAATGTGCAATAATTACACGTTCTATAAATGTTCTCCTAAACGTGGATACGTAAGATTAGCGACTAATGAGTCGTGAAATTGACCTTACATGACTTTAGATATCAAAAATACAATTGTGAAAAAAATATAATGGCAAACTATTTTGTTTATTATTTTTCATAGTAAGATGATTTCCCACAAAGTGCCTTTTTCGAAGAAAATTATGGAATATCAGAGTTATTATTGTAAGAAGCTCACGAACAAATGACTATATCCCTTCGAAAATACAGCGTAGCTCGCGGCGAATCGAGCTTAATGGGTTGTTTACTTGCAAATTGCGCTACCGTTAAAGGGCAACAAACAATTCATGACTCATTTTAACTTCTGCATTTCAATCCCAAGAACTGACAGCCCTTTCTACGAGCATCACGTTTGCATAATTGTCTCTTATGTTCCATTTCTTTTTCAAGCGAATCGCTTTTTCCTACTGTTTTCATCTACCGTAGATTTAAAAAATTCAAAATATAATAAAATTATCGACTTATGTTGTTAATAAGCTATTAAAAGTGCTGCCTTAATATTCTAAAAAAAATCTTTATTATAAAAAAATTAAAATCTTTCAAAATAATTTCACATATAAATGTACTAGAAGATGTAAATACAGTTATACAGAATATCTGATAATGAATGCATTACCTCTCATAGACAAGTAGAACGGACTAAACTGAATCAAAAAGTTCGGTAAAAAACTTTATAAAATTGGCGAACTTACCGATTTCAATGACCTTGACACATATTTTCAAGGTCATGGTTCTGAGCGATCTCCCACAAGTTGTAGTAGTTCGCTCATTATTCGTTACATAGTAATTATTAACAAAAAAATTTTTAAATAATGTCACATTTCTGTTATATATCTACAATATTAAGTAACATATATATCCTACACTTCCCCCTGCTTAGAAAGATTAAACTTTTCACGCGAAGCGAGATCCACCCTGCATCTGCCTCTGCCTAGGGGGCGCACGATTTTCCACGCGGAGCGAGGTCCACCCCCACCTCCCCCCTTACCTAAAGGCGCATAACTTTCTACACAAAGCGAAGTCTACATTACTGCACCCTCCTGTCTAGATCGTGCGCCGTGCGCCTTTAAGCAGGGAGGGAGATGGGCCTCGCTTTGCGTGGAGTTGTACGCTTTTTTCGCATTTATATCATATACATATTTATTAAAGGATCTTGCATCAAATTCTTTGAAGAAACGTAAAGAAATGTAAAAGTTTGTTTATACTTTCTAGTAAATGTAACTAAATAAATTGTTTAAGAAAAGAAACTGCTCTTGTTAAAAATGTTTTAAAGATTTTTGAAGTTGTACAATTAGTGAAATTATGGTTATAATTGTAATTCTGCGAAAATCTGTTCTGGGGATTGATTATTGTATATTATAAGAGAATATGCTATATTGTAAACAACAATCCGGTATTCTTCAAACATATAAAATATTTTTATACATTTAGATGAAAATAACATCTCAACTTTTTATTTAATTTTTATTAATAAATTAGTTAACGTTAATTAATTAAAAAAAAAATAATAAACAATATAAACTTATTAATGGTGGCCAATATTTTTAAAAATATTTCATTGTAATAAAAAATGAAAACAAAGCATTACATTTTAAAGAATTATGCGATTAAAATTTTAGAAAATATGCATTTTACAAAAAAAGAATTTTATGTATAAGACACCCCCAAAATGAATGGTTTAAAGTAAATTAGGAATTAGAAATTTATTAAATGTATATGTATTTAAATGTATAATATGTGTTTATATGTATGTATATGTATATATACACACACAAATACATATATATATATACATATATATATATACATATCTCACATATACAGGATATTTTTTAAAGTCTATCCACAAATCATATAGTGTTATTCCTGATAAAAAAAACTGACAATGAGTCGAAAAGGCCTCATTTTGCAATTTTTGCAATGGTTGACGAAATATTAATTTGTAAAGATTGTAAAATAAGTGATTGCTGAATCACATAATGCTATTCCTAATTAAAAATTGAGTCGAAAAGTTCTTTATACCATTGCGATCAGGAATAGCGCTATATGATTCGTGGCAGACTTTAAAAACATGTGTGTGTGTGTGTGTGTGTGTGTGTGTGTGTGTGTGTGTGTGTGTGTGTGTGTGTGTTTATAATTTCATTTTAAGATTTTATATCTTTTACAACTGGAAAAAATGCTTAGAATAAAAAAATTCTAAAAATTTTTCAAAGGAAGTTAGAACCAAAACATCAATCCAGATCACTACAATTTATAAAATGTAGAATGACAAAATTTTAATTTTGAAACTATTACGATGTTAAATAATTTAAGAATCAAGTCATCTTAATTTCTCTTTACATTAGGATAATATTAAATTTGTGACAGTTCGAACTAATATTATCTACAATTGTGTACTTAAGTCAATTTGAGATGCAATTACTTGTATTGTTTATTTATAATTCATAATGTTCTATTTGCATTAGCATCTTCTTAGATAAAGAATTGCTTAGGCAGTTTTCGCACGAATAGCAGCACGTTTTCCTGTGACAGCCTGAAATAGACATAAAAAAATCATGTTTAAAATATAATTACATTTGATACGCACAATATATCTTGCCAGAACATGTATATACATGTTCATATGTATCACACTATGTATAAAAAATATATTATTTCTAATTAAAGAATAATTTACCTGGAATCCAGACTTTATGCTAGCGACAGAACATCTTGAACCGCAGGTTTCGCATTGCAAAAAAAAGAGTCGAGTGTCCTTTTGGAGAATAGTGTCGGGTGAACGACACGTATGACACGTAACGTATTCTTTGATATATCTTCTAAGAACATTTTCTATTTGTTTCTGTTGAAAGCGGCCTTTGATAATTAACTGACTGTTACCATCAACAGAGCCGCTTGTACCTAACTCCGCCAGCAGAAAGTCTAGTAAATGTTTAGGTTGTCTATGTAATGTTTTACAAATCTGTAAAATAGAAATATACAGGCTAAAAATTTTTAAACAAAATGATTAAAAAATCTGGAAAAATATAAAATATGTAGAAAAACATTTCAAATAAACATTTCATATGATCTCACAATGCGCAAATAATAACAAAATCAAATTAAAAAATTTTTTAAAGTCATATAAAAGTTATCGATTTTTTAAATAAATTATGAATTTTTTTACATAATATAATTCCTCTAATTATTTTGTATATAAAAGTATTAAGGTAGAGATATAAAAAAATAAATAGTTTTTGTGAGTTATTTTATACTTTATTCTAGTATATGTATACTGATAATGTTTACTGAAACCTAAAATATCTCGTAAACTGTAAATTTTTTTATAATAGTACTTTAATATTTTTATGCACAGAATAATAAAAATATTTTAAAAAATTATGTATTTTGCTATTTGTAACTAATAGGTACATAACATATTCATTTTCAAGCAACCATTTCTTTATACAATTGATTTATCTCATTATTCATCAATATTGTATATTTTATATTTTCATTGGTATTCATTTAAATAATTGGTATTGTATACAAATTTATCTTTTTGTCTTTAAATTACAGATTATTTCTTTGAAAGCTGTTAGCAAAATACATACAAAACTACTACTGTAAGTCTGGTTATAATACATACCTCGGTAAAATTAGCAAAAGATGTTTTTTTCGTTCCAATGCGTACTACTTGTGGCGGACGCATAACAAACTTCTGTTTCTTACCCGCTACCATATCGGGATTCTTCTCTCGCATGATATTAAACACCCTAACTAGTAATTCATCGTATGTATAATCTCTATCCGATCCCACCCACAAACTCGGTTCCTCCACTAAAGAGAAAAATGAACATATTTGTATTATCTAAACTAAATTATCTATACTAAATTATGACAGAAAGAATTGTTAATCATTACACGTGATTATTACAATTGAACAAGCACAAATGAAAATTAACAATTTGAAAGTTGTTAAAGTAGGGTAGAAATTTTTGAGGGTTCCGCTACCACTCGGGAATCGTTTTATTTCTATGGTTTCTTATATATTTACCTTGGTAGAAATAAAAAATAATCATTATAATAACGTCAGATTTAAGGAAAAATTTTGATACATTGAAATAAAGTGAATAAAATCCTTATTTACATTGTTATAAAATCAGTTATGCTTCAATAATTTATTTATGAAATTAATTCCAAATTGGACCAAATGCGAATAATTGCATCACATTTTTTATAACATTTGTCATCTCGGTACCGTTTCCCCCACTCCAAGCGTAGCGCAAAAATTGTAAATAAATTTATTGCGAATAATATTACCTCAGCCGGGAGTCGAACCCGGATCTCTAGAATTCCGTGCGAGCGTCCTGAGTTTTTAGACTACCGAGGTCTTAGTAATTAGTATTTTTCGCAATATCGATATGTAGGAATAATGAGTTCGACTCCTGGCTGAGATATTTTTCGCAATAAATTTGTTCAGTTTTTCAGCACATTAACATCTTTCTAATAGGATACCTGATTGAGCATCAAATTATTAAATGGCTTGTCAAATTAATTTGTGATATTACTACAGTGATTTAAATGGGTGCATTCAGTACTATAACCGCTCACTGAGCGCTCAGTGAGCTCTCGTATCTGTTTGGTCTATATTTTTAGATCTAACGGAATATGCCAATCAGATGCAAGAGCTCACTGAGCGCTTAGTGAGCGGTTGTAGTATTGAATGCACCCACTGTGCTTAGAAGTCCGAAAAACCAATTAGGCGCGCAGTTCAAATGACAATATAATATATGTGGTATACAAATTCACGTGGAAATTATTTATTTTACATTTAAATTATTTAGGAGAGAATTTGGATAATACAAAATAATAAGATTGCTTTAAAACGCTTGTAAAAATGGGCAATAAATAATCGTGAAAAAAACGTGAAATAAAAATAAGCAAGCCTATGTTGACTACGTGCCTTTTATGATAATTTACTATCAGGAGGGAGAGGTAAGGATAGCTTCTATTCATTTTTACAAATGCTTTGAAACGATCTCATTATTTTATTTTATTCAAATTCTCTTTATTTACAAATGGCATGCAAGAATTTCAATGTGTCATTTCTTACTTATGACTGATAACATCATGATTTCAATGTGACTGCGGCGATCAGTCAGGAGTCTTAATACAGTATAATGCCCAATTTCATCACTTCCAGATAAGTTGCGAATTACCTTATCCAGGAGATATCTCCATTGTATTCTGGGAGATATCTCTTGGATAAAGTTATCTAGAGGTGAAGAAATTGCGCTAAGTCATTTTTTTACTTCACAAAGATTATGAACTTTTTAGTTCATAAATTTTTTAATTATTTAATGTTATCATTTCACGATCCTTTTATTTATTATACATACTTTGTTTTTCTTTTATTTAATGTCTAATGTATAAAGAATACTAAAAAAGCATTCAATCATAAATATTAATCATATACGTATACATCAATACAAACACAAGATCTCATTCTTGTATGTAATTTATCAAAAATGAAAAAAAGCATTTCATAAAATTTCTTATTATGTTTGGAAAATAATGATAAATCTATCACGTAGGGGCAAAATGGACTAAACTGAGAAAAAAGTCCTCTACTATTTTGAAATTTTCGCAATAGTTACAAGATATTAATTGCTAAAAATTGCCAAAAATTGGTTTTCAATAATTTTTTACTAAAATACTATCAACTTTACAGAAAAACTACAAGAGATAAAAATTATTTATTTTCTTCTTATATAGAGGTCTAAGAATTTTTTTTAGAATTTTTTAGTATCGTATTTTCTCAAGTTAAAAATAAGAAAATTCTGTACTCTAAAAAGTTGATAAATTCTTAAAAAATTCGTAGAGTTCTATGAGAAGAAAATAAACAATTTTTGTCTCTTGTAGTTTTTCTGTAAAGTTGATAGTATTTAAGTAAAAAATTATTGAAGACCAATTTTCGACAATGTTTAGCAATTAATATCTTATTGACTATTGCGAAAATTGCAAAATGATAGAGGACTTTTCTTCTCAATTAGGTCCATTCTACCCTATGCGAAGGATTTATTATTATTTTCCAAACACCCTGTACATATTAAAGCTTCCAAATAAATTATAATTAGACATTATTTTAATTACATCAGATATATGTAAATAATAATTTTAAAATATATAAAATTTAATTTTTTGAAATTTATAAAATCAGTTTCAGATGTTCTCTCTAAAATTATTTTTGTCATAAAATGCATAAGAGTGGAACTTAGATGACGTGCATGTGAGCGGATGCCAACTGCGATTTTTAGATTGTGCGATAATTAGAGAATAGCGAATTAGTGAGTGGATAAAGAAGGGAAAAAGGGAAGAGCAAAAAAGTTAAAAAGAGGTAAAGGGAAAATTTTGTTATTCTGGTATTATGTTTTGAGGATGAGTTAATAAACAGAGAAAGGGAGATACAGAAGCAGTGAGAAGATAGCAAAATTTCTAAGGCAAGATACAACGAGTTAGGTAAAGATACAAGGAGTTAGGGGTGACTCACCCCTATAACGTATTTCCTGTTACTTACCCGGGGTGAGTAACAGGAAATACGTTATATCTAAGGAAAAAAAACTTAGGAGGATGGAAAAAAGGGGGTGAGGTAAAAGCTCTGTTTCAATTAAGACGTGGGAATTTGGAGGAAATGATAACTTGTAGCATTATGTGGAGGAATGCACGATGACAAAAGAAAGATTTATTAAATTAGGGGAAGAAGGAGGGATATTAGGGAGATGATGATTTAGGCAAGATGAAAAGGGAAATATTAAGAAAATTATGGAAAGATAGTGATAAAGTTTTGAGAAAAAAAAAGAAGAGAAGGAATACATGATCTAGAGAGGAAAAGTAATGGCAATGGAAAATTAGTTTGTAGGAGTGGTGTAATTAGCAGAAAGAGACAATAAGGATGGATAGAGTAAATTTCAAAAGAAATAAAAGCATGTGAAAACAAGCAGACGATTATAGGCTGTGATTAAGGCTGTGGTCTAGATATTTTAATTTAGTTTAATTTAGTCTACAGTATTAGAATTAGATATAGAATAAAAGCAGATAAGACATGAATAAAAGAATACAAAGAGAATATACAGGATACAACTGGATGAGCAAGAAATGGTAAAAATAGTAATATAGTAATGGATAGCATAGGCAAGATAAATGGATAAATGAATGGGTTAGGGCTGTATGTGTAAACTAAGTCCTCTTCTTGGCAGTGTATGCTGAAGTGTAATAAATTCTATTCTATTCTATATATTCTATTCATATATATAGAATATTCATATATTCTATTCAAAATGCGTAAGTGCAGAAATAATTAAGTGCATAGTTGACGTAATTAAAGTACATCAAGCATAATGTCTTACCATACTCTGCACTTCGCTCAGATTCAGTGCAGCATGTTAACAAATAATGGATAACATAAACAACTAGATGCAAAAAACATACTGGTAAAAATCATTTCTTATTGGTACATACCATTCTCCTTGTCTTCAATTTCCTTGCGCTCTTCTTCAGCCACTAATTCATCGAGATCTTTCTTCTTTTTCTTCTTTTTCTTTGTTTTTGAGAAATCCATATCTAAGTCAAAATCATCATCTACTACAATTTCTTCGACCTGTTGCTCTACAAGTTCCTGTAAAATAAATAAGATTCTCAAAAATTTAAGATAAACAATCCAGGTCTTGCTAAACTAGTATATTATAGATTGCAATACACTTTTTAAAATGGCAAATATTTGCAATCTTCTCTCCTCTCGCAAATATGAAAAAGCAAGGAATGGAGGTCATATTTATTTGTATTATTTTATTTATACAGGGTATTCAGCGATATCTACCTAGTTAATTCAATAGATAATTCTAGGATATTCCAAGTAAAAATCCTAGTTTTTCGAGATCGATTAATTTTCATTAATTAATTTTTGTTGATTCGCGCAATATATGTTTTGTATTCAAGTTAGAATTTAATATAGCGAAATATTTAAATAATAATTAAAAAAGATTTCGTTATTACATAGTTTGGCTACCTTTTTGAATCTTCTTCAGAAATCCAAAATAAAAAAATTAAACAAGAAAATATAGCAATATTTTCATAGTTCTCATGTTAAGTTAATCCAAAAACCACAGAATTACTCAAAACGATTGGAAGACCGTGTGGAGAAAAGTTCTGGAAATTATGAACATTATAATTGCAAGTAATGGACAGAAGATTTAAATAGAAAATAGTCAAATTTTAGAGTTAGGAAAAAAGTTACAAAATAAAAATTTCTTCTCTTATCTTTCTCTATTTAAGAAAATTTTATTTTATGATTTTTTCACTAACTTTAAAATTTTAACTATTTTCTATTTAAATCTTCTGTGTGCTACTTGCAGTTCTAATGTTCACAATTTCCAGAACTTTTCTCCATGTGGTCCTCTAACTGTTTTGCGATCAATTCTGTAGTTCCTTGATTAATTCAGCATGAGAAGATATTGCTGTATTTTCCTGTTTAATTTGTCTATTTTGAATATTTAAAGAGGGCTCAAAAAGTCGAAGTAGCCAAAATATGTAATAACGGAATTTTTATAGACATTGCTAATCTCTTATTTTATCTCTTGTCATCTCGACATTCTTAATGTAAATCTAATAATGTATAATTAAAATTTTGTAATTTTTACATATTGACATCCTTATTGACTCTTGTAGATCTTTATTTTCGTTTATTTAAATTTATTATAATATACAAAAAAACAAAGTGTAATTTACCTAAAACATTTCACAACTGACCAGTAAATCATTATCCATACTTAAAAAATCCTTGCTCTTCTTACGAAATCTTCTTACTTTTATAATGATAAATTACAAATTAACAAAAAACTAATAAGTTTTTACAGACTCCTTTAATTAAAACAATTAATAAAACCATAAAATATGTATTATAGAGATTATAGATAGAGATTATAGATATATGTATATTAAAAGATTTTTTTATATCTTTAGTATTAAGAAAAATTGCGCTAATTGATAACCAGCGTCGACTCCTATTGTCTGTAATACATATTTTATGGTTTTATTAATTACTTTTATAAATTAATTCTTATCTTATCTTATTAAATCTTATCTTATCTTAATTAAATCTTATCGTACAAATGTTTAGGACATTTATGGAATAACATTAATAATAAAATATAATTAATTTCTAGTGTGTTCATAGATGTTCATAGCTGAATATAATTTATCATTTTTTAATATATCAAAACATGTTATTAAAAAATACAAAGACAAATAAAATTGAATAATTAATGATAAATAAGCTTAAATTATTAAATATATCCAACATAAATTTTAAAAAAATTATTTACCTCTTTCTTTGTATCAGGTAAAGCTGCTTCTAATTCATCTAAGTTAAATGCCTTTTTCTTTTTTTTCTTTTTTTTACCAAAATTTTCCAAATCCAATGCCTCATCATCTTCCACCACTGTTGGCTCAGGTTCCTGATTCTCCTTATCAACAATGTTTTCAGATGCATCTCCACCGCTGCCTCCTTCATTGAAAGCCGCATCTATATCAAAAGTAGTCTTCTTCTTCTTTTTCTTTTTTTTCAAGGTTGGATCAAATACCTAGAAATTTTTTTATGAATGGAAATGAGTTAAAATACAAATCATATTATATTATTAAAAATAAATAAACGTTTTAATAAAACAAGGATGAATATAGCATATAAATAGCTTATAATGTTGATCCTTTGTTATAAAAAATCTTCTAATTTAAATGATTAATATCTCCAGTAAATAAAAATTTTGAGGTTGGAATTTCTTTTGCTTACTAAATATCATATATCTCTCGTAAGTAACAAAAAAAAAGTAAAGTCTGATGTATTACTCCAATAGAAAATATTGAATTAGAACAGCACAGTATGTCCTGTCACATATTTATGTTCAACTTAATTCGTAAACTGTATTTTACGTACCGAATCTTCTTCCGTCATTTTTCTGATAGTAGAGTGTCCTCTTAAATGAAGAAAACTTTTTGCTTAACAAAAACTTAAGCGATATAAAACATTTCAGAAAACTGAACAAATTAATTTCAACTTACTGCCACACGCTGCTCCAAAAAGATTGCATCAGAAAATTTAATAGCCTTAAGAAAAGCAAGAGGGTCTACCTTCTAAAAAGAAGACGATTTTCAGCGCCATTATGTCTGAACGCGGACATGGCGAACTAAATTGAATCAAGTGATGAGAGCATAGACTTTATCCAGAGAGATATTTGAAAACGGTCATCCCGGCCTTTTTCATTCCAACGCTTATATGTATGTACACATCAATGTCCATTTTTGGGATATGAGAACGAAAGTATCACGTCTATTTTGTGAAACTGTCGATAAAATTGGAGTATTGAAAATGAACGTGGTGTGTGTCGGTACTGTCGATGCTCATAATAGCGCGAAACGCATCGCGTCGTCACGAGTTAACCAATCAAAACGTCCCATCTGCTTACAGTCATGGACAAAACGGTTGCAACACTTTTTTCGATAAGATTTGGAATGCAACTTGCTCACCGAGCGATTGGCTGCGTTCAGCAGAGAAAGCAGCTTTGCAACTGTTGTAAATTCTTCAATATGATTAGTCTTGCCCTTAGTTCCTCATTGGATCTAAATGTATAAACCAATCATATTCAAGAATTTTACTACAGTTGCAAAGCTGCTTTCTCTGCTGAACGCAGCCATTGGTTTGCAATTGATTTTTGCTTTCAATACTTTACTGGATCTAAGGCCGATATTAATAGTCGGTTCTTATTTTAAGACCATCTTAAGTAGCCTCTGATTAGTTTACGACATCTTAAGACTCTACTTAAGACGGTCTTAAATATAAGATTTGACTATTAATACCGGCCTAAGTGTAGGAATCAATGGGCGCATTCAGCGGACTCAACAGTTGAGTGAGCGCTCACTGTTATTGGTGTACTCTTTTAAATCATCCAATCAGAATTTTAGATCTAAAAGAATATATTAATGGCTGCGTTCAGCGGACTCAACAGTTGAGTGAGCGCTCGCTGCTGATGGTCGCGTTCAGCAGACTCAACTGTGTGGAGCAGATCCGTGAGCACTGCTATTGGTGTATACTTTTAGTTCATCCAATAGCAGCGAGCGCTCACGGATCCGCAACAGTTGAGTCTGTTGAACGCGATTGAACGCGACCAATGAACGTGACCGCAGTGTCCGCAGTATATGTTCGCGTTGGAGGTTGGAGGTTGGAGTTTGGAGTATTTCGCAGCTGACAGATTTCCTAACCTCAATAGTCGTCGATTTTAACGCTTAATATCTCGGTCCACGGAGTAGAGCGACACTTTTTTTTGTCAAGTTCGTTCATTTTGTACAAAAACCCATCGAATGAGCCTAATTTTATTAAAATCGGTGAGGAAGACTCTGGAAGACAGGAATCTTGAACATTTTCTACGTAAGTAATATTTATCTTCTAATTTACACCGAGCTTGATATGACTATATTCGTATTCGTACCAAATCACTTAATATACTTATTGTGATCACCATGTCACGTTCACGAATTACTTTAATTTACTCTGATATTTCTGAATCGTATCAAACAATTGGACAATTACGTATGACGTATTGTGATATTGTAGCACAACAAAATCACGGAGTACTTTCTATTGTCTGTTTTCGAGATTAGTATTTTATTAGTTATTAGTAGCACACACACAACACAACACACAGAAAATATATATTTTTTATTAATTGTATATGTTGTATATTCTTTTCATTTTTTAAATTAAACACACATACAAGATATTATTTTTACTATATGTTTCTAAGAAATTACAAAACGATACATAATTAGAAAATATCTTAGAACAAAAAATAACATGTTCATGGAAAATACATTTATCTATTTAATATGTGTATAAATAAAACAAAAAAAATTGTAATATTAGTATTTAGATTTCTTCTTAAAAAACAATATTTAAAATCTCTTTTTAAAAAACAATATTTTACAAAAGAAATTTATACGCTTTTGTTTTGATTATCCAATGTTTCAAAAATTTGACATTTTGCTATTTAATTTATTGTTATTTTGAATTGTTAATTCTGTAAAGACTACATCAGTTTCAAATGTTTTCAAATATTGATATTTTATATAAATAAAGTGAACAAATGGGTGTAGAAAGTATAAAAAATTGCATTTTTTATGAAATATTTTTGATCCCTTATTTAATTCCTATTTATGTTTTTCTATTGAAGTTTTTCTAGCAATATTCTGTGAAATATTTATCACATTCACTTTTGTGTAATACACATATATATACAAAATATATATTTTTATTCACTAATTTTTAGAAATAAATTAGAATATTATACGTGTTACTATCCTGTTTCAAACAGGGAATGGAAAGTTTTTAAAAACTAGTTACTGTTAGTTACTGATTCTCAAAAGTAACTCGTTACCGTCATCGTTACTTATAAAGTAACGATTCGTTATTTTTCTGTTACCTTTTTAATGCTGAAAAAAGATCAGTTAAAAAATTTTGCAATATTTTTTATTCAGATATTAATAAATGTGACAAACAGTGATGATACTAGAAAACTCTTATATTTGATTATTAATTGATAAAAAGTAGACCAAATAAAATATTTTTGTATTACAAAAATTTATTAAAGAAGAACTTGCATCTATGATTTGACAAAATGGTGGCAAATTGTTAGCAAATATACTTTTAAATTCGTATTTAATGACAAAAGATAGCTAATTTAAATTAATCTTTATATTAACAGTCTCATTTTTGTTAAAAATTATAAAAACAGTTTATTGCATACCCTACGGGATTACGCCTGGACCAGAGATATTTATATTGTAAACTTTTTTAGTATTTTAAATTGTATTATTTGTGACAAACTACGCTTAAACGTCAGTCATTTACCTTAATTAGTTTATGGCAATCTTATAACACATCATAAACTAATCACAGTATGTGACAACATAATTATTCATATTAGAATCTTGAGACATTATTAAAAATTTTGAAGTAAGAACGAATCATGAATACTGGTCAAAGATTGAAGATTGAATATATAAAAAATTATGTCGTAAAAATGTGTTCAAAATATAATAAAAAGTAACTGTAGAATTCGTTAAGTACCGTTACCACAAAAAATATATCTATATTACTGTTACAGTTACTAAAAAAAAGGTAACACTGTTACTAGTTTGTTACAAAAAAAAATACTTATAATGGCGTAACATGTAACGCGTTATTTCTATTCCATGGTTCTAAATTATATTATAATTTGATTAGAGATAGTCTCTTCCGTATTAACACATTATACAGAATGTTAAAAAAATCATTCAGCATTTATATGATAGTACATACTGTACTGATCGTAAGTTAAACAGCCTTAATAAACATAGGTTGAAAGCTAAACAGTTTCTGAAATACAAACAGTTTTGTAAGTATCATAACTAATTTATTAACTTCTACGTGCGAGATGTAAAGATTTACCTCCGTATTTACAAACTGCATTCTGAAGGTTTTCATTCAATATGTACATACCTTATTATGAAAAATTTCACCGTGGGTGCGGTCAAGGTCTTACTACATATGCTTTGAAGTATTTGATTGACCAATTAGAAGAAAGAATTTTACGAATTGACCAATCAAAGAATGCTTCAAAGCATTTGTAGCATTATGTTGAGACCGTATCAGTAAATTGACCAGCGATTATGATTGGATAGGCATTACCCCGTATCTACATTAGAATTTTAAGCCTTAAGCCATAAGAAATGAACGAATCATAGTCAATTATTTTTCTCAAATTCGGTTGTAATATATTGGTCAATTTCTTATAACTTAAGGCTTAAAACACCTGTTGTAGATCTAGGATTATAAGGGATCACCTTATTGGAGCTGCAATTCTCTCAATCAAATAGATTATCAGTGCTACTTATTTCGGTAAATATGCAATATAACTCTCCTATTTCCGATTTTCTTGTAATTTGATAAATTTGTGTATTTTCATGCATAGAATATATTCCGAGAAAGAATATATTCCTTAGAGCATGTAAAATATCATTAAATTATTATTTTTCAACTTATCGACATCAAAAAATTTTGACTTGAGCAATGATTTTCCTTCTCAGATTATATTCTACGCGTGGAAACACAAATTTACCAAATTACAGGAAAATGGAGGTGGAGGCATTATACTATATATTTATCCTTATTTCAATTTCTCTCTTTTCACATCGTGTGTGACATGTAGAAGACAATTTGTTATGAATTATGATACTAATATACAAAATTATTCATATCTCAGAAACAGTTGAGCTTTTGACCTATATTTACTAAGGCTTTTTTGCCCAGTATAGTATGTACTACATATCATGTAAAATGAATGGTTTTTTTTTTAAATCTTGTATAAAGATGTGTACATAAAGTGTCTATGTACTATTATTATATTTCAGGTAATCGGGGATTACAATTTATAATATACAATTTTTACTATATCTTCTGTTAATTTATAATAACAATTTTAATGTACACTGCAAGAAAAGTAAAAATATCGTTCTTTATGGATGGAAAAGTATAATTCTTCTAATATGAACTGTGAACATTTGATACAATGTTATGAATATATTGATGTAATATATGTTAATTAACATAAACAATTTCATAGACATTTATGATGTATCACATAAGACATTCTATACAATATCAAAGATTATGTATAAAATAATTTCTAAGAATAGTAAACAGATTCATACAAAATTGACATAGTATCTATAAATAAAGAACAAAGAATTACACAATGTCGAATTCTAAAAACAGCACAGAATGTAATAAGAAAAAAGCTACAGTTCTAGAAGAGCCACAAACAGCAGTAAACAAAAAAGAAGATGCATCAGCGCGACCTATGTGTAAATTAGATTCGTGTGGTTGTTTAAATCTCCAGGATATTCTATTAATATTTGATAGTCCTTTAAGTCAAGAACGAGCATGGGCATTGTGCTATCAGATAGCTAATGGTTTATTACGCTTAACGGAAAATAAGTTCTATGAGATATCAGAACTCTCGCAAATTATACTTCACAAAGATGGAGATATTTGGCTTGAAAACTTAGCAGGTGACCGTTTTATTCTAGAATTCAGAAGTAATCATGTAAACTT